AAACAGAAGCATCAAGGGGTACCAAGCACCACTAACCTGATTCATATTTCACGTTTACTTGGTCTATCCTGATTGCGATAGACATCTGACTCAGAAATACATTCAAGTGCATTAGAAATGCAAACAAATCCCCCTGATTGGTCGCTTTCAGTTCACTCTTTTTAGGCTCATCAATGTAGCAATTCACAAAACGACCCTGTAAAAGTAAGAGCACAGATTAATTTTAAATTTCAAACAACAACTTGTCCATTAACCACACTAATTTTCTCAACATAATGAGCAAGTGGCAACAGGCCGCCCCAACATACAGCTTACACTACTCACCCGCAGAGCTTCATGGATGTGCCTTCCTCATTGTCGTATTCCACTACACCACAGCGACAGCAGGCAAGTCAATTAAAAAGCGCAGTTGGGCTATTACCCTTCACCTGCCCAACACAAACAACACTGTTATATTCTGAGGACGAAACTTGGGCTAAGAAACACATAGCTCCTAAGGCAAGAGACACATGGCTCCTAAGAAAACTCAAAACTGGTAAGCAGAGTCAAACATTATATGCACTCTTTTATCGGAGATTAAAATATTGCACAAATTATCAAGAATTTTTTTACGCAGCCACCGGGCACTCGCAATCTGCTATAAGAATTAATAATTATAACTTTAACAAATCAAGAGATGAAAGTAAAACAGAAATCTGAAAGGGGGTTATGTCGGCACAGCACTAACTATGGTTCTCAGTAGAGAGGGGTTAGTTATCTAACATGACGCCACACAGAAACTTGGCAAGGCGCCCGCAAGAAACCTCAACTGAGAAACGCATTTTTATCGAAAATTTGACAACGAAAATCCATTTGCAGTCTTGTCGAGGAATACCTACAACAGTAACAGCGCGCAGATCGGACTTGGATTTGCAGGTTGAGAAAAAAAGCCGTTACGGTTGTCATGGAACGCCCGAGACGCCCTCGCCGACATGAACGCGTTGCGACAAACTCTGGGTATTTTGAATACTTGAAAAAGACAAATCAACTTCAGAAAGAGTACAAAAATACAGTCTCAACGGTGCGGGAACACCGACAAAGCGAACAACGGTAACGGTGAGGAGAGAGGGGGGAGCGATGAGGGGGGCGCACGGTACTGCCAACCACCAACGCAAGACCCGCTAGACACATATGATTACGTGAGACTTGAGATCGGTTTCTAACTGTAATACGCAATAAAAAAAAAACATACCGAGTAGTATTTTTAACTCTCACGTCACAAAGCTCAAAGGCTATCTTCCTCAATGTGGATTTCGCATTTCAAATAGCCGCGTTCTAACCGCCATCGACAGTGATGTTTAAATTTAATAAA